AGAAACACATGAAGTCTTTCAGAGACGGCGAAGTTGTGAAAGAAGCATTCCTGGAGGCTGCCGACGCGCTTTTTGGGGGACAGTAAAAATAACAGAAGCATTTCAACAGGTTTTTGATATAATAAAAACTCAAGTTAGATACCGTTATTAATCAGCTGTGAGTTTTAGTTTGTTTGAACTTATTCATTATAATTATTGTACAAAATGTTATAAGAATGCAAACTTAAATTGATTATAGTCTATTATCAGTTCAGGTTAAGAAGCTAGTGTTGCTTGCATCCTATTTAAAGGCATTTATTTTTATACTCGACTAAAATGCAACAAAAAAGGGTTTGATTCTATTAATGTTGTCTTTTTTACTGCACGTTGGCAGCAGATTCCTGAGTAGCTTCAGATCTGAGTTGTTTTATTAGTAAGCCTCATTTATACTTTTGTAGCAACACTATTTTTATATAATGGCAAAGAAAGGGTTCAGAGTCTTTTCTTCCTGAGTCATATGAGGCAGCACTGTTCAATGCTTCTTGAAAACATGACCCACTGTAGTGACGTGTGAATAAACTCTGTATCAACACTGTTGTGTAACTTCAGTTAAATACTTGTGTAGATTAGAAAGAGGTAAGATAAAGGATCTGCAGTATTTTATGAAGTATTAATCGTACAAAGGTCAGTTTTATACAAGTAGAAGTGTGTATTCACCTGGTAGGAGGCTGTCAGTAACGCCTCTCTATTTGGACTGGTAGATCTCGGCAGACTGGCAACTTTAAAAGTAGCTCTCGGTTCAAAAAAGGTTGGGCACCCCTGATCTAGATGATAGGAAAGGAGGTTTCAAGCTTCCTTTATAACGTCCTTTAGCTTAGGAACCACTGGACCTCCCTCACCGAAAAGAGAGGAGAAAATGCTGCCCCACAATGCATTGCAGCCGCAGCATTTGCCGTCACTCAACAGTCGGCCGTTCACGGAAACAACCGATTATGGGAGAAATGATATCATGAAAGTTACGGTGCTCATTAAGCTAAACGTATGTGGTAAGTTGCCAAAGTGCTTTGTTCTGAACGTTCATCAGTATTATAATCAAAGAGAGAAATATGAACGTTAGTTTTTACTGAAATGATCAAATAAAGTCAACATCTCACAGTCTTTACTGAGCTGTGGGGTTTGTTCAGCTTTTAAAAGATGTTTGAATGGTGATATACACAGAGATAGATGTTAAGGACTAACGTTTATAATAAATACATCTGTATTGATTTAAGATCTTTCCATCAATCATACGTATTGGGATCATTTGTTTTAACGTGGACCGGAGGGAGAGGGGGACGAGCAGAAGCTTCACTTTCCTTTGTATTTCAATTCCAGCTTTGGTCCTGAAGAATCTGTTTCTCTGTTGTCCACGTTCATAAAGCATAAAGCAACAGCGTCAGAGCACAGAGTCTCTAGATGAGTTCACAGGAGTCCCTCGTTCTTATTGAACATCCATGTTGTAGTCCGCTGTATAGAGAACTGTAGTCTCCATAGTTTCCCCACAGCAGCAGACGCTCATTCAGGACGTCCGCTGGCGCATCAGAAACACGTGGGAGAGTGAAAGTGCAGTCGATTCTCTAAAGTACCGCAGTCTCTTCTCCTAAGTCCTTTTGGATTCTCCTATCCACTATCCCTTAACCCCGTGACCTTTCACTCAGAGGAAGGGAAGAGACGAGAGCAGCTGATTTTTGGACTATTGGGCCACAACCATGCAATCCTCCTAACCTCTTCTTCTTCTGTGGTAGCCTCCTAACATCCTCCTCTTCTTCTGTAGCTTCCAGGACTTTGAGCTGCAGTCCTCCCACCGCTGCTCGTCTGATTGGCTGTCGGTGGGAAGCTTCAGGTCTCTGGAGGGTCTGAAGGTCTGTGGCTCCTCTCTGCCGCCCCCCTTCATCTCAACCCAGGACCAGGTCTGGATCCACTTCATCTCCAACAGAGACTCTGACACTGGGAAGGGCTTCAGACTGAGCTACGTCACTGGTGAGGGGATCTGGATTATATGAGATCTGGATTATAAGAGATCTGGATTATATGAGATCTGGATTATATGAGATCTGGATTATAAGAGATCTGGATTATATGAGATCAGGTTTATGAGATCTGGATTATATGAAATCTGGATTATATGAGATCTGGATTATATGAGATCAGGTTAATATGAGATCAGGTTTATGAGATCTCAATTATATGAAATCTGGTTTATGAGATCTGGATTATATGAGATCAGGTTTATATGAGATCAGGTTTATATGAGATCTGGTTTATATGAGATCTGGATTATATGAGATCAGGTTTATATGAGATCAGGTTTATATGAGATCAGGTTTATATGAGATCTGGTTTATGAGATCAGGTTTATATGAGATCTGGATTATATGAGATCTGGATTATATGAGATCAGGTTTATGAGATCTCAATTATATGAAATCTGGTTTATGAGATCTGGATTATATGAGATCTGGTTTATATGAGATCTGGATTATATGAGATCTGGATTATATGAGATCAGGTTTATATGAGATCTGGTTTATATGAGATCTGGATTATATGAGATCTGGTTTATATGAGATCAGGTTTATATGAGATCAGGTTTATATGAGATCTGGTTTATATGAGATCTGGTTTATGAGATCTGGATTATATGAGATCTGGTTTATATGAGATCTGGATTATATGAGATCTGGTTTATATGAGATCTGGATTATATGAGATCTGGTTTATATGAGATCTGGATTATATGAGATCTGGATTATATGAGATCTGGATTATATGAGATCAGGTTTATATGAGATCTGGTTTATATGAGATCAGGTTTATATGAGATCAGGTTTATATGAGATCAGGTTTATATGAGATCTGGTTTATGAGATCTGGATTATATGAGATCTGGATTATATGAGATCAGGTTTATGAGATCTCAATTATATGAAATCTGGTTTATGAGATCTGGATTATATGAGATCTGGTTTATATGAGATCTGGATTATATGAGATCTGGATTATATGAGATCAGGTTTATATGAGATCTGGTTTATATGAGATCTGGATTATATGAGATCTGGTTTATATGAGATCTGGTTTATATGAGATCTGGATTATGAGATCTGGATTATGAGATCTGGTTTATATGAGATCTGTATTATGAGATCTGGATTATATGAGATCTGGTTTATATGAGATCTGGATTATATGAGATCTGGTTTATATGAGATCTGTATTATGAGATCTGGATTATATGAGATCTGGTTTATATGAGATCTGGATTATATGAGATCTGGTTTATATGAGATCTGGATTATATGAGATCTGGTTTATATGAGATCTGGATTATATGAGATCTGGTTTATATGAGATCTGGATTATATGAGATCTGGATTATATGAGATCAGGTTTATATGAGATCTGGTTTATATGAGATCTGGATTATATGAGATCTGGATTATATGAGATCAGGTTTATATGAGATCTGGATTATATGAGATCAGGTTTATATGAGATCTGGTTTATATGAGATCTGGTTAATATGAGATCTGGATTATATGAGATCTGGTTAATATGAGATCAGGTTTATATGAGATCAGGTTTATATGAGATCTGGATTATATGAGATCTGGTTTATATGAGATCTGGTTTATATGAGATCTGGATTATATGAGATCTGGATTATATGAGATCTGGATTATATGAGATCAGGTTTATATGAGATCTGGGGGGTATACTACGAAGCAGGATTTTCGTTTAGCAAGATAACTTCTGGGATTTCCGGTACGACGAAGCTGGTTCACTTTTTAGCGGGCTAGATCTCCATGGTGACTTATCCTGGAACCTAGTCTGTGCTCCGAAGCCGGATAGGTTCTACGATAAGAGATCAACTCAGCGAAAGCACCACGCCTGCTGACCAATCAGAGCTCAGTGTGCGGAGGAAATACAGTTTAAACTGCGGTTGCAGGAAAGACGGCCGGCCAAAATCACTGACTGTGTGAACGTGAAAATGAATAGAACATCACCTCCATCTTCAGAGCAATCTGACTATTATAACTATCATTATACTATTATGTTAAGAAAGCTTAATTAAATATCTGCCACAACATAAGTAACCGGATCAGAGTCACATTACGTACAGTCCGCGGCATATCACTTCATAATGTATCATCTCCTGATCTGAGTCAGCTGAGCCGTATCTGGCCGTGCAACACTCACAGCGTCACAGACTGGATGCAGAAGGATTATTTGAAGCAACACATTAAGTTGAGGAAACACTGGAGTCAAATGTAATGAAAGTCAGATGGTGTCTTAGACGGGCAGTGATATCATAAAGCTGTTAATGTACGCATTCAAACACTTGTTCTGTTCCCAGCTGTGTTCACCTTGCAGGTGCAGCTCTGTGGCTTTGATCCTGGATCAAGTGTTTAAGTCCTGGATGTTTAAAGTTTAACTTCTTCACATGTCTAATATTATAGTTCACTTTTCATTCAGGAAGTATGACGCTGCGCTGTCAGTGCGCTTCTCCATGTTTGTGATTGGTCGAATGCTCCAGATACCACCCCTCTCATGTGAACGCGCACCTAACTAGATAGGGCACGGCTGGCTTGAGCGAACGAGTTGATAGCCAGCGTTGTAGGACAGTTTAGCGAGATCTGGATTATAGATCTGGTTTATATGAGATCTGGTTTATATGAGATCTGGATTATATGAGATCTGGATTATATGAGATCTGGTTTATATGAGATCTGGATTATAGATCTGGTTTATATGAGATCTGGATTATATGAGATCTGGTTTATATGAGATCTGGATTATATGAGATCTGGTTTATATGAGATCTGGATTATATGAGATCTGGTTTATATGAGATCTGGATTATATGAGATCTGGATTATATGAGATCTGGATTATATGAGATCTGGATTATATGAGATCTGGTTTATATGAGATCTGGATTATATGAGATCTGGTTTATATGAGATCTGGATTATATGAGATCTGGTTTATATGAGATCTGGATTATATGAGATCTGGTTTATATGAGATCTGGTTTATATGAGATCTGGTTTATATGAGATCTGGATTATATGAGATCTGGTTTATATGAGATCTGGATTATATGAGATCTGGTTTATATGAGATCTGGTTTATATGAGATCTGGATTAATATGAATGGATTCAGGATTATATGAGATCTGGTTTATATGAGATCTGGATTATATGAGATCTGGTTTATATGAGATCTGGATTATATGAGATCTGGTTTATATGAGGATTATATGAGATCTGGATTATATGAGATCAGGTCATAGATGTTGAATTCCCCTCAGGTTCCCTCTCGGCACCAGGATGTGATGTGGACCAGTTCCACTGCTCTAATGGGAAGTGCGTCCCTGACTGGTGGCGCTGTAACTCGATGGATGAATGTGGAGACAACTCCGACGAGGAGCTGTGCCTCGACTCCCCCCTCTCCTTCACCCCCTGCGGCCTGCACCAGTTCCCCTGCCTGTCCAGGTACACCCGCATCTACACCTGCCTGCCTCACAGCCTGCGCTGCGACGGGACCATCGACTGCCAGGTAACCCCACCTGTAGACACTATGACACACACACCTGTAGACACTATGACACACCTGTAGACACTATGACACACACACCTGTAGATACTATGACACACCTGTAGACACTATGACACACACACACACCTGTAGACACTATGACACACACACCTGTAGACACTATGACACACACACCTGTAGATACTATGACACACCTGTAGACACTATGACACACCTGTAGACACTATGACACACACACCTGTAGACACTATGACACACCTGTAGACACTATGACACACCTGTAGACACTGACACACACACCTGTAGACACTATGACACACATGTAGACACTATGACACACACACACACCTGTAGACACTATGACACACACCCCTGTAGACACTATGACACACCTGTAGACACTATGACACACATACCTGTAGACACTATGACACACCTGTAGATACTATGACACACCTGTAGACAGTATGACACACCTGTAGACACTATGACACACCTGTTGCCACTATGACACACCTGTTGACACTATGACACACCTGTAGACAGTATGACACACCTGTAGACACTATAACACACCTGTTGACACCTGTAGACACTATGACACACCTGTTGACACTATGACACACCTGTAGACACTATGACACACCTGTAGACACTATGACACACCTGTTGACACTATGACACACCTGTTGACACTATGACACACCTGTAGACACTATGACACACCTGTAGACACTATGACACACCTGTAGACACTATGACACACCTGTTGACACTATGACACACCTGTTGACACTATGACACACCTGTAGACACTATGACACACCTGTAGACACTATGACACACACACCTGTAGACACTATGACACACCTGTTGACACTATGACACACCTGTAGACAGTATGACACACCTGTAGACACTATGACACACACACCTGTAGACACTATGACACACCTGTAGACACTATGACACACACACCTGTAGACACTATGACACACCTGTAGACACTATGACACACACACCTGTAGACACTATGTCACACATGTAGACACTATGACACACACACACACCTGTAGACACTATGACACACACCCCTGTAGACACTATGACACACCTGTAGACACTATGACACACACACCTGTAGACACTATGACACACCTGTAGACACTATGACACACCTGTTGACACTATGACACACCTGTAGACAGTATGACACACCTGTAGACAGTATGACACACCTGTAGACACTATGACACACCTGTTGCCACTATGACACACCTGTTGACACTATGACACACCTGTAGACAGTATGACACACCTGTAGACACTATAACACACCTGTTGACACCTGTAGACACTATGACACACCTGTTGACACTATGACACACCTGTAGACACTATGACACACCTGTAGACACTATGACACACCTGTTGACACTATGACACACCTGTTGACACTATGACACACCTGTAGACACTATGACACACCTGTAGACACTATGACACACCTGTAGACACTATGACACACCTGTTGACACTATGACACACCTGTTGACACTATGACACACCTGTAGACACTATGACACACCTGTAGACACTATGACACACACACCTGTTGACACTATGACACACCTGTAGACAGTATGACACACCTGTAGACACTATGACACACCTGTAGACACTATGACACACCTGTAGACACTATGACACACACACCTGTAGACACTATGACTGACACACCTGTAGACACTATGACACACCTGTTGACACTATGACACACCTGTTGACACTATGACACACCTGTAGACACTATGACACACCTGTAGACACTATGACACACCTGTAGACACTATGACACACCTGTTGACACTATGACACACCTGTAGACACTATGACACACCTGTAGACACTATGACACACCTGTTGACACTATGACACACCTGTAGACACTATGACACACCTGTAGACACTATGACACACCTGTTGACACTATGACACACCTGTAGACACTATGACACACCTGTAGACACTATGACACACCAGTATGACAGTAGACACTGACACACTTGACTGTGTGTGTGCGTGCGTGTGTGTGTGTGTGTGTGTGTGTGTGTGTGTGTGTGTGTGTGTGTGTGTGTGTGTGTGTGTGTGTGTGTGTGTGTGTGTGTGTGTGTGTGTGTGTGTGTGTGTGTGTGTGTGTGTGTGTGTGTGTGTGTGTGTGTGTGGTGTGTGTGTGTGTGTGTGTGTGTGTGTGTGTGTGTAGGACCTGGGGGACGAGATAGACTGTGAGGTTCCGTCCTGTGGAGAGAGACTCAGGAACTTCTACGGTTCCTTCAGCTCCCCCAACTACCCCGACTTCTACCCACCTGGCAGCAACTGCTCCTGGACCATCGACACGGGGGACCCCCGCAAGGTGAGACCTTCCCCACCCTGACTCACCCCTTAACCTGTTCATGAAACTGTGTCTCAGGGCTTCTTAACATTTAAAAACCTATGAGTCATACCCATTTAACGGGAAGAATCTCAGCTAACTGACGATACGATACTTACTTATTGTAAGTCGCTTTGGATAAAAGCATCAGCTAAATGCAATGTAATGTAACGAACCATTTTTACCGAAACAAAACACAAGTCTCACAAGAAGCGTCTAAATGAGCCCTGAGCGAAAAAATGCTAATGCACTTAGCACAGAACTCTAAGTATAAATACCCTTATTACATATCGGATCTGCACAAACAAGATATCGATTAGCAAGCTGATATTCCACAGATTCCAGGGGTATAAGTATCATCACTGAGCGATCAGAACTCGGCAGGGGAAGCAAACATCACAACACAGAGCTTTACGGAGCAAAATCGGGACATTGTCTTGCCTTAGCTGTTGTTCTGATCAAACGTCGTGTTCAATGGCATCAAACCGATACAAACGCTGCTGAAGGTTTATCCAATGTGTCTGTGTCACTGGATTACTGATAATCCATCAGCATATTTATGGCAAAAACTGCGTTTTCATATATAGCTATTATGAGAGCCTCCAGTTTTGGGCATCCTGGTTACGCATCACTCTATTCACCGATGGGTAATGGTTAGATGGATTTTAGGAACTTCCCCTCGATTCCAGCGGCTCTAGCGGCTAAAAAGAGATGTCAATCATCAAATCGACCAATGGGTTCCAGAGATAGGTCAAATGACCCCAGAAGTGGGGTTTTTTGTGCTAAACCTCTAAAAAGGTCAAATGTCACTTGTTTTGCAACAATCTTGATACAGGGTACTTATTATATGTTATAGTTTGGATTCCTAAAGCTTTTAGTCTAACCCATCATTCAAGGGTGGTTTTCACTATAAGTAATGGACGGACACTATAATTTACATTTTTACTATGTTCAATCTGAATTTACTTTAAAATAAAAACATCTATATTGATTCTGACTTCTCTACATCCAACTCACAGGTTTATCATTACTTTGAGAACAAAGATTATTAATGTAACCCTTTTAGAAGATATGGTCCTTTGTTCTGGGAATGTCATCTTCGAGCCTGAGACCTGAAAAACAGGCTCAGGGCCTAACAGGTTAACCCCTGCAAGGTGAGACTTTACTCACCCTAACTCACCCCTTAACCCCCGCAAGGTGAGACCTTCCTCCTCACCCTATCTCACCCCTTAACCCCCGCAAGGTGAGACCTTCCTCCTCACCCTAACTCACCCCTTAACCCCCGCAAGGTGAGACTTTCCTCCTCACACTATCTCACCCCTTAACCCCCGCAAGGTGAGACCTTCCTCCTCACCCTATCTCACCCCGTAAACCCCCGCAAGGTGAGACCTTACTCACCCTAACTCACCCCTTAACCCCCGCAAGGTGAGACCTTCCTCCTCACCCTATCTCACCCCGTAAACCCCCGCAAGGTGAGACCTTACTCACCCTAACTCACCCCTTAACCCCCGCAAGGTGAGACCTTCCTCCTCACCCTATCTCACCCCTTAACCCCCGCAAGGTGAGACTTTACTCACCCTAACTCACCCCTTAACCCCCGCAAGGTGAGACCTTCCTCCTCACCCTATCTCACCCCTTAACCCCCGCAAGGTGAGACCTTACTCACCCTAACTCAACCTTACCCCCCGCAAGGTGAGACCTTACTCACCCTAACTCACCCCTTAACCCCCGCAAGGGGAGACATTCCTCACCCTTACCCCCCCGCAAGGTGATACCTTACTCACCGTTGACCCATCACTCACCCCCTGAACCTCACCCGTTAGAGGACCTTGACGGCCCGTCCACACAGCGGCGTGCGTTGAAAGCTTCACCATTCACTTTGAATGTGACGTCATTTTTCGCCGAACTGCATTGTGGGAAGTGAAGCGGAGCTTTGCTGGTGTGGCTCGCTGCAAAAGTTGAGCAATGTTCAACTTTTGACGCCTCGGCAGAAGCGTCAGCCAATCGAATCATATGCCAGTACAAGCTCTAGCCAATCAAACCGCTGCTTGTGTGTCAGGGGCGGGAGATTCATGTGATTGGTTGTTGGTCGAGTTTCAGACACGCCCGCCGGCAAGCTTCAACGCACGCCGCTGTGTGGAAGGGCCGTCACTCACCCCCTGAACCTCACCCGTTAGAGGACCATCACTTACCCCCTCACTCACCTCTCCCCCCCAGGTGGTCCTGAGGTTCACAGACTTTAAGCTGGACGGGACCGGGTACGGAGATTACGTGAAGGTGTACGACGGTCTGGAGGAGAACCCTCGCCGCCTGCTGCGCGTTCTGACCGCCTTCGACTCCCGGGCGCCGGTCGCCGTGGTTTCCTCCTCCGGACAGCTGCGCATCCACTTCTACGCCGACAAGATTAACGCCGCCAGAGGCTTCAACGCTACCTACCAGGTTGAGTTCCTTTCCCTACCAGGGGAGTCCCTTTCCCCGCCAGGGGAGTCCCTTTCCCTGCCAGGGGAGTTCCTTTCCCTACCAGGGGAGTCCCTTTCCCTACCAGGTGAGTTCCTTTCCCTACCAGGGGAGTCCCTTTCCCCGCCAGGGGAGTCCCTTTCCCTACCAGGGGAGTTCCTTTCCCTACCAGGGGAGTCCCTTTCCCTACCAGGGGAGTCCCTTTCCCCGCCAGGGGAGTCCCTTTCCCTACCAGGGGAGTTCCTTTCCCTACCAGGGGAGTCCCTTTCCCTACCAGGGGAGTCCCTTTCCCCGCCAGGGGAGTCCCTTTCCCTACCAGGGGAGTCCCTTTCCCCGCCAGGGGAGTCCCTTTCCCTACCAGGGGAGTTCCTTTCCCTACCAGGGGAGTCCCTTTCCCTACCAGGGGAGTCCCTTTCCCCGCCAGGGGAGTCCCTTTCCCTACCAGGGGAGTTCCTTTCCCTACCAGGGGAGTCCCTTTCCCTACCAGGGGAGTTCCTTTCCCTACCAGGGGAGTCCCTTTCCCTACCAGGGGAGTCCCTTTCCCTACCAGGGGAGTCCCTTTCCCCGCCAGGGGAGTCCCTTTCCCTACCAGGGGAGTTCCTTTCCCTACCAGGTGAGTTCCTTTCCCCGCCAGGGGAGTCCCTTTCCCTACCAGGGGAGTCCCTTTCCCTACCAGGGGAGTCCCTTTCCCTACCAGGTGAGTTCCTTTCCCTACCAGGGGAGTCCCTTCCCCGCCAGGGGAGTCCCTTTCCCCGCCAGGGGAGTCCCTTTCCCTACCAGGGGAGTTCCTTTCCCTACCAGGGGAGTCCCTTTCCCTACCAGGGAGTTTCCTTTCCCTACCAGGGGAGTCCCTTTCCCTACCAGGTGAGTTCCTTTTCCCTACCAGGGGAGTCCCTTTCCCCCGCCAGGGGAGTCCCTTTCCCCCGCACAGGGAGTCCCTTTCCCTACCAGGGAGTTCCTTTCCCTACCAGGGGAGGTCCCTTTCCCTACCAGGGGAGTTCCTTTCCCTACCCAGGGGAGTTCCTTTCCCCGCCAGGGGAGTCCCTTTCCCTACCAGGGGAGTTCCTTTCCCTACCAGGGGAGTCCCCTTTCCCTACCAGGGGAGTCCCTTTCCCCGCCAGGGGAGTCCCTTTCCCTACCAGGGGAGTTCCTTTCCCTACCAGGTGAGTTCCTTTCCCCGCCAGGGGAGTCCCTTTCCCTACCAGGGGAGTCCCTTTCCCTACCAGGGGAGTCCCTTCCCTACCAGGTGAGTTCCTTTCCCTACCAGGGGAGTCCCTTTCCCTACCAGGGAGTCCCTTTCCCTACCAGGTGAGTTCCTTTCCCCACAGGGAGTCCCTTTCCCTACCAGGGGAGTCCCCTTTCCCCTACCAGGGGAGTCCCTTTCCCTACCAGGTGAGTTCCTTTCCCCACCAGGGGAGTCCCTTTCCCTACCAGGTGAGTTCCTTTCCCTACCAGGGGAGTTCCTTTCCCTACCAGGGGAGTCCCTTTCCCTACCAGGGGAGTTCCTTTCCCTACCAGGGGAGTTCCTTTCCCTACCAGGGGAGTCCCCTTTCCCTACCAGGGGAGTCCCTTTCCCTACCAGGGGAGTCCCCTTTCCCCGCCAGGGGAGTTCCTTTCCCCACCAGGGGAGTCCCTTTCCCCACCAGGGGAGTCCCTTTCCCTACCAGGGGAGTCCCTTTCCCTACCAGGGGGAGTCCCTTTCCCCGCCAGGGGAGTTCCTTTCCCACCAGGGGAGTCCCTTTCCCCGCCAGGGGAGTCCCTTTCCCTCCCAGGGGAGTCCCTTTCCCTACCAGGGGAGTCCCTTTCCCTCCCAGGGGAGTCCCTTTCCCTACCAGGGGAGTTCCTTTCCCTACCAGGGGAGTCCCTTTCCCTACCAGGGGAGTTCCTTTCCCTACCAGGGGAGTCCCTTTCCCTACCAGGGGAGTCCCTTTCCCCGCCAGGGGAGTTCCTTTCCCCACCAGGGGAGTCCCTTTCCCCACCAGGGGAGTCCCTTTCCCTACCAGGGGAGTCCCTTTCCCTACCAGGGGAGTCCCTTTCCCCGCCAGGGGAGTTCCTTTCCCTACCAGGGGAGTCCCTTTCCCCACCAGGGGAGTCCCTTTCCCTACCAGGGGAGTCCCTTTCCCTACCAGGGAGTCCCTTTCCCGCCAGGGGAGTTCCTTCCCCACCAGGGAGTCCCTTTCCCCGCCAGGGGAGTCCCTTTCCCTCCCAGGGGAGTCCCTTTCCCTACCAGGGGAGTCCCTTTCCCTACCAGGGGAGTCCCTTTCCCTCCCAGGGGAGTCCCTTTCCCTCCCAGGGGAGTCCCTTTCCCTCCCAGGGGAGTCCCTTTCCCTACCAGGGGAGTCCTCTCTGTGTTTAAGGTGGACTGTCTCTGATGAACCTCTCTGTGTTTAAGGTGGACGGGTTCTGCCTGCCCTGGGAGGTTCCCTGCGGGGGGGAACTGGGGATGCTACACTGAGCAGCAGCGCTGTGACGGTTACCTGGCACTGTCCGAACGGACGGGACGAGCTGAACTGTTCTTCTTGTCAGGAGGATGAATTCCCCTGCTCCAGAAATGGAGCGTGTTACCCTCGATCGGACCGCTGCAACTACCAGAACCGCTTGCCCCAATGGATCCGACGAGAAGAACTGCTTCTTCTGCCAGCCCGGGAACTTCCACTGCAAGGTAATGCAGCTGTTAACATGTTAGCCTGACTGAGTGTAAAATGAGTCCCAGAGATGTTAATGGAGCATTGTGTGGTGGGAATCGAGCGGGGTGATTATCTTCTCTGTTTGATTTATGGTCTGCAGAAATAACCGCTGTGTGTTTGAGTCGTGGGTGTGCGATGCGCAGGACGACTGTGGCGACGGCAGCGATGAGGAGAGCTGTCCAGTGATCGTTCCCACCAGAGTGATCACTGCTGCTGTCATCGGGAGTCTGATCTGCGGTCTGCTGCTCGTCATCGCGCTCGGCTGCACCTGCAAACTCTACTCGCTGCGCATGTTCGAACGCAGGTGAGATCTACACCTACCTCTGATTGGTCGCTGCCAGCCGTGTGACCTCTGAACTCCCTCCCACCTGACATCCGGAATACTGACTCTTTTCAAATCACGTCTCTTCACACTGGCCACATCCCCCCTGATCACATGACACATCCTCTGCTTTTCCGTTTTTATTGATTGATTATATTGTCGTGTTATTGGACTTTTGTTTTGTTTTGTGAACCTTGTACGGCGACCTTGAGAGCCTTGAAAGGCGCCTTTATAAATACAATGTATTATTATTACTGGTCGTTAGGGGACCTGAGCCTCGTGATTGGTCGTTAGGGGACCTGAGCCTTGTGATTCGTTGTTAGGGGCCTGAGCCTTGTGATTCGTCGTTGCAGGTCCTTCGAGACGCAGCTGTCCAGGGTGGAGGCGGAGCTCCTGAGGAGAGAGAGCCCCGCCCTCTTACGGTCAGCTGATAGCCCAGGGTCTGATCCCGCCGGTGGAGGACTTCCCAGTGTGCTCTGGGAACCAGGTACTGATCCCAGCTTATGATGTGAGGTTCTAAGAGGTTCTAAAGCAGGCATGGGCAAACTAAGGCCCCGCGGGCCATATACGGCCCGTTGGGCTTTTGAATCCGGCCCGCCGAATATTGGTACAAAATTGTCCAAATTATAGTAAAGACCGCATTAATTTAGCCTTTTTCCGGCAATACCCGGCATTTCAGTTGATCCCACTAGATGGCGCACTCTAGACACAATTGACCTTTGCTGGAGTCTAACCCTAACCCTACCATGTGGCCATCACAAGTAAATTCATAACGAAAACTACGCCGGTAAAATATGCGTGTAGAAAACGGCTTATGCCACAATATGATGGCAACAAGTAGTCAAGATAGTCTGAGTAGCTTCGGTTGCATGCTAACACCACCTGTAGAATGCCAGAGAAACGTTCATAACAGCGCTGTGATGCCTAACAGCTTTCAAACTAAAACACTTTCACTGATGGGGATGGGGGATATGTATCAGCTGCTTGACAGTCAGACAATGAAAACTTACAGCGGCCGCTACCGCAAGTTAACGGGAGAATAAACTCCGGTAGACGAGCAGCAGGCAGTAATGCAGCTGAACCACATTAATAAACAATGCAACCACGGCACTCTGGAGAAAGGTACAAGGTTGGAGAAGTAGTTCTTTAATTTAATCTGGCTTCGTATGATTAAAAACTACCAGATGATCTATTGATGTTGTTGTGAGCGGTGTTGCGGAGAAAATCAGCGACGTAAAACGCTGTGTGGGTCATAAGAAGGCACGTAACAGTTACGTCATGACGCAATCATTCACCTCTGAACCTGCATCTGTAACAATGAGTGGACCAAAGAAAAGAAAAGTCAACATTGAGTGCCGAGTGTTTAATGAGGAGTGGACAGCTAAATATTTTTTCACCGATCTGCTGCTGTCAAATTTAAAACTCATAGTGGCCCCCGAGCCAAAAAGTTTGCCCACCCCTGTTCTAAAGACTAACGGTCCTCTCTGTTTCAGGCGTCGGTTCTGGAGAACCTGCGGCTGGCGGTCCGCTCTCAGCTGGGCTTCACCTCCCTGAGGCTGCCCTCCTCCGGTCGCCATAGCAACCTGTGGCGCCGCCTGTTCACCTTCCCGCGTCCCGGCGCTCCGGATCTCTGGCGCTGGTTTCGGCTGACCTGGAGGACGGAGGCAGCTCCAACAGCTTCTGACCTGCTGAGCCCCGACTCTGACCCCGAGATGGAGGGCGAGCGAGGGGGGGCGAGGGAGGGTGAAGGAGGGGGAGGGAGGGAGCGCGGGGCGGCGGGTGGTCCCGTGGCCCCCCTCCCTCAGAAGACCCCGCCATCAGCTGGTGTGGAGGCCGTGGTTTCCCGTGACGACGTCTTTGCCCCCAGTCACCCTGACGCCAGTCTGTGCCCGGACCCGGGAGGCCCCGCCCCCTTCCAGCCCCGTCGCCGCGGTAACCTCCGGTCCTGATCCCGAGTGTCACGGCGATGCCCCGGAGGCCCCGCCCCCCCTCCGCCCTGCAGCGATTGGCCCAGAACCTGGGCCGCTTCGTCCGCCGTCTGAGGACCGGCCCGCAGGACTGGACCAATCACAGCCCTCTGCACCAGCTGGAGACAGGAAGGGGCGGAGCCGAGGCCGGCGAGCAGCGAAACAGAGAAGAAGAAAGAAGACGGGAGCTGCTGATCCCCGTCTCAGACTCTGACTTCCGCCTCCTCCTCCTCATTGGACGTAAGGCAGCCGCTCCTGGAGCCACACCCCTCCTACAGCACAAGCCACGCCCCCCCACCATCACCGTGGTAACGTCGGGCCTTGTGAACACTGTGGGATTGTGCACACCGCCCTGATCCCAGACGCCTGCCGGGGGGGAAGACGGAGAGCAGTGACGACGAGTTGCTGCTGCTCTGCTAACGGCTAACAGGCTAACTGATGTCCTACCAACAGCTAACATGCTAACTAAGAGCTAACGTGCTAACTGATGTCCTACCAACAGCTGACATGCTAACTAAGAGCTAACGTGCTAACTGATGTTCTACCAACAGCTGACGTGCTGAATGCTAACATGGTACCTGGCTTCATCACATGCTAATTTACAGCTAACATGCTAACACTATGACTGAACTGCAAACTAGCCAACATGCTTACTGTTTGAGTGGACTATGAACAGCCGGCAGGCTAACTTTAACCTGGACTAGAGCTACACCTGTTAGCATGTTAGCTGGATTGACGGTAGCTCTCAGAGATGTCGGTACGATGATGAAACTCTCCTGGTCCGTCGCTTAAGAAACTCCCCGCTTTCTGCTCGTTGGTACGACTGTAAACTGTATTCTGACAGGAAGCTGTTGGACTCCTGGCCTGTGCAACTCTTTAAAAGGTCCCCCTTTGTTCTGTTGATCAGAACTGTGAGAATGACGAGGGTCATGTGACTAGTGCTGGTAGCTACAGTTAGCTGCTGACAGGCTAATCTAATGCTAGGCTAACCCACAGAGCAGGGTTAGGTAATAATGTTTAAACTGGTGTGATACTGATCCACACTGACCGTTACTTAATCCCCCAGGTGACCCCAGGTGTCCACCAGGTGACCCCAGGTGACCCCCAGGTGACCCTCAGGTGACCCCAGGTGACACTCAGGTGACCCCAGGTGACCCCCAGGTGTCCCCCAGGTGTCCCCCAGGGGACCCCCAGGTGTCCACCAGGTGACCCCAGGTGTCCCCCAGGTGCCCCCAGGTGTCCCCCAGGTGACCCCAGGTGTCCCCCAGGTGACCCCAGGTGTCCACAGGTGACCCCCAGGTGTCACCAGGGACCCCAGGTGACCCCAGGTGGTCCCCATGTGACAGGTCCACCAGGTGACCCCAGGTGTCCCCCAGGTGACCCCAGGTGTCCCCAGGTGACCCCCAGGTGTCCCCCAGGTGACCCCAGGTGTCCCCCAGGTGCCATTACCCCAGTGTCCCCCAGTGTGACCCCAGGTGTCCCCCAGAGTGTCACACAGGTGACCCCAGGTGTCCCCCAGGTGGTCTCCGGTTCTACAATAAACAATATAACAATAAAATATATTAATAATAAAGACGTGTCATCATGCTAACAGCCACTGTATAAAGTCAAACTAATAAACAAACAGGAAGTACACAGAGTACACAGTGCAGAGTACACAGTGCAGTTCTGCCCCCCCCCCCTGTATTATGATGTGTTTCAGTTGTTGGTACTTGTGCGACTGAATATTTATTGTTATTATTCTGATGTTTGTGAATATGCGATTGTTGTTGTTGTTGGGTAACTGTTTCTCTGCATGTGTGTGTTTTCTTGTGAAGTTCCAGATGTTACTGCAAGCGACAATAAAGTTTACCTTCATCTGTTTCTGTTTGTCTGATTGAGTAAAACCTCTGAAACACCTCAGAGACCGTTAGGACTCTTTAGAGCAGTGGTTCTCAACTGGTGGGTCGCGACCCAAAAGTGGGTCGAGCACCCGTTTGGAGTGAGTGAAGAGAAAAAACATGTACAAAAAAAATTGAATTTTTTTTTGGGGGAAAAAGTCAAACTTTTATTTTGAAGGCCCGATTTTCTAACGCTGTGCATGCAGTGGGCGTTGGACTGGAAGTACCGGAGAACATACACGGTTTGGAAGCTTCTGTCACATTGTGATCATCTTCTCAATAAAATATCTTTGCTGATGTTTTTTCTTCTGGCCAATCAGAATCAAGATTGTTGCCGGAATCCCCACGGAGAATAACTTTGCGGTAAAACTCTTCTTTATACATCCATGGGTACAACTTCAGATAGAAATGAACACATAATGAATATACCCCCCGGTCTGATGACTGACAGGTCACAGAACAATGGGGGCTATCTACCCTTACCCACAATTTAAAGTAAGTCACAGACTATCTCCTCTTTGCTCTTCCCACAGCAAGATGTCAGAACAAAGTGAAAAACAAACAATGGCATAACATATTATTAATATGTCGGGTAGTATTACATCTATGTATTCTCTTCTCAGTGTACCAGAATGCATAGTTTATGTTAGTATTTCTAAAAATCTCCTGGGGGAGAATCCCCCCCCCTGCTGGGGTTGGGTTTTCAGCATGCGTGCCTTTTTATATAGTTCAGCTTTGATTCCATCATCTCATTAAACCTTTTTAAAAGCATACTTTAGTTTATTGACCAAGTAAAAAGTGGGTCCCGAGGCCAGTTGAGAACCACTGCTGATATACACCTGAACATCAGCAGGAGATAACTCTTTAAAGTAGAGACACTACATACTGATATACACCTGAACATCAGCAGGAGAGGACTCTTTAAAGTAGAGACACTACATACTGATATACACCTGAACATCAGCAGGAGATAACTCTTTAAAGTAGAGACACTACATACTGATATACACCTGAACATCAGCAGGAGATAACTCTTTAAAGTAGAGACACTATAACTGATATACACCTGAACAACAGCAGGAGATAACTCTTTAAAGTAGAGACACTACATACTGATATACACCTGAACATCAGCAGGAGAGGACTCTTTAAAGTAGAGACACTACATACTGATATACACCTGAACATCAGCAGGAGAGGACTCTTGAATGTAGAGACACTACACACTGATATACACCTGAACATCAGCAGGAGAGGACTCTTTAAAGTAGAGACACTACATACTGATATACACCTGAACATCAGCAGGAGATAACTCTTTAAAGTAGAGACACTACATACTGATATACACCTGAACATCCGCAGGAGAGGACTCTTTAAAGTAGAGACACTACATACTGATACACCTGAACACAGCAGGAGATAACTCTTTAAAGTAGAGACACTACATACTGATATACACCTGAACATCAGCAGGAGAACTCTTTAAAGTAGAGACACTACATACTGATATACACCTGAACATCAGCAGGAGATCTTTAAAGTAGAGACACTACATACTGATATACACCTGAACATCAGCAGGAGAGGACTCTTTAAAGTAGAGACACTACATACTGATATACACCTGAACATCCGCAGGAGAGGACTCTTTAAAGTAGAGACACTACATACTGATATACACCTGAACATCAGCAGGAGAACTCTTTAAAGTAGAGACACTACATACTGATATACACCTGAACATCAGCAGGAGAACTCTTTAAAGTAGAGACACTACATACTGATACACACCTGAACATCAGCAGGAGATAACTCTTTAAAGTAGAGACACTACATACTGATACACACCTGAACATCAGCAGGAGAGGACTCTTTAAAGTAGAGACACTACATACTATACACCTGAACATCGCAGGAGAGGACTCTTTAAAGTAGAGACACTACATACTGATATACACCTGAACATCAGCAGGAGAGGACTCTTTAAAGTAGAGACACTACATACTGATACACACCTGAACATCAGCAGGAGAGGACTCTTTAAAGTAGAGACACTACATACTGATACACACCTGAACATCAGCAGGAGAGGACTCTTTAAAGTAGAGACACTACATACTGATACACACCTGAACATCAGCAGGAGAGGACTCTTTAAAGTAGAGACACTACATACTGATACACCTGAACATCAGCAGGAGAGGACTCTTTAAAGTAGAGACACTACATACTGATATACACCTGAACATCAGCAGGAGAGGACTCTTTAAAGTAGAGACACTACATACTGATACACACCTGAACATCAGCAGGAGAACTCTATAAAGTAGAGACACTACATACTGATACACACCTGAACATCAGCAGGAGAGGACTCTTTAAAGTAGAGACACTACATACTGATACACACCTGAACATCAGCAGGAGAGACTCTTTAAAGTAGAGACACTATATACTGATACACACCTGAACATCAGCAGGGAGAGGGCTCTTTAAAGTAGAGACACTACATACTGATATACACCTGAACATCAGCAGGAGAGGACTCTTTAAAGTAGAGACACTACATACTGATACACCTGAAATCAGCAGGAGAGGACTCTTTAAAGTAGAGACACTACATACTGATACACACCTGAAATCAGCAGGAGAGGACTCTTTAAAGTAGAGACACTACATACTGATATACACCTGAACATCAGCAGGAGAGGACTCTTTAAAGTAGAGACACTACATACTGATACACCTGAACATCAGCAGGAGAGGACTCTTTAAAGTAGAGACACTACATACTGATATACACCTGAACATCAGCAGGAGAGGACTCTTTAAAGTAGAGACACTACATACTGATACACACCTGAAAATCAGCAGGAGAGGACTCTTTAAATTAGAGACACTACATACTGATACACACCTGAAAATCAGCAGGAGAGGACTCTTTAAAGTAGAGACACTACATACTGATACACACCTGACATCAGCAGGAGAGGACTCTTTAAAGTAGAGACACTACATACTGATACACACCTGACATCAGCAGGAGAGGACTCTTTAAAGTAGAGACACTACATACTGATATACACCTGAACATCAGCAGGAGAGGACTCTTTAAAGTAGAGACACTACATACTGATATACACCTGAACATCAGCAGGAGAGGACTCTTTAAAGTAGAGACACTACATACTGATATACACCTGACATCAGCAGGAGAGGACTCTTTAAAGTAGAGACACTACATACTGATACACACCTGAACATCATCAGGAGAGGACTCTTTAAAGTAGAGACACTACATACTGATATACACCTGAACATCAGCAGGAGAGGACTCTTTAAAGTAGAGACACTACACTGATACACACCTGAACATCAGCAGGAGAGGACTCTTTAAAGTAGAGACACTACATACTGATACACCTGAACATCAGCAGGAGAGGACTCTTTAAAGTAGAGACACATACTGATACACCTGAACATCAGCAGGAGGAACTCTTTAAAGGAGAAAAACTACATATTGTTATACACCTGAACATCAGCAGGAGAGGACTCTTTAAAGTAGAGACACTACATACTGATACACACCTGAACATCAGCAGGAGAGGACTCTTTAAAGTAGAGACACTACATACTGATATACACCTGAAAACATCAGCAGGAGAGGACTCTTTAAAGTAGATACACTACGTACTGATATACACCTGAACATCAGCAGGAGAGGACTCTTTAAAGTAGATACACTACGTACTGATATACACCTGAACATCAGCAGGAGAGGACTCTTTAAAGTAGATACACTACGTACTGATATACACCTGAACATCAGCAGGAGAGACTCTTTAAAGTAGAGACACTACATACTGATATACACCTGAACATCAGCAGGAGAGGACTCTGGTTAAGGCACACAGTAACACAACTGACAACAGGAAAGAAAAAACAGACGGTAAAAATATCTTTAATGAGATAATATTTAGATATGTAGATAAAATATATTAAATACACATTTAAAATATATATCTACATTTATATATTAACAATAAAACCCTTAAAAGAAGAAAGTAATACCTGTATACTTCTGACTGCTCTACGTCTTCAAAGTGTTTCTGTTTGCTGAGTTTAATAAAGTTTATTCAAATGTTGTCGATTGGATACGGTTAACATGCCTCGTTGCTAGGATACCGCAAACCTCGACAACAGCTCTGTGAGTTACTGAGTAGTTTAACCGGGAAAACAACGCGTTTAATCCGGTAATTATTCATTGTTTTACCGTCATTTAGTCGGGGGTTTACCCGGTAATCCATCCCTGTGTTATCAGCCCCATCATTCAGTGATTAATCCGTTATTTAGTCGGAGTTTGGTCCGTTATTTAGTCTTGGTTCGGTCCGTTATTGAGAGATGGAGATCGTGCTCGGGTACCCGCGGCTGCGCAGTGAGTTCGGCCGGCAGCCGCTGCTCTCGGACCGGCCCGCGAGCCTGATATTGGACCTCCCTCCGGATCCGAGCCTGGCCCCCTGCTTTCTGCTGAAGAATCCCCGAGATCAGGGCCTCCAGGCCGCCAGGGACATGTCCGAGCACCAGGTGTGTCAATATATACATAGGCTACTGTGGTGAACATTACGGGACATAATTCACTTGAGTGTGTTGCGCCACGGACTAGAAATAAAGTGTGGAGTTCCATACTCCACACGCCGTCTCCGACTCCCATTCATCGGCTCTACACTACTATAGCCTACTCCTGTATATAACAGGGACATGTCATATAGCCTATATACTGTATATGACATGTCCCTGTTACACTATACAGAGACATGTCTATATATATATATATATATATATATATATATATATATATATATACACATGTCTATATATATGACATGTCTATATGTATATATATATATATATATATATATATATATATATATATATTAGGGTTACAGGGGGTCCAGACTCAGGGTTACAGGGCAGGGGTCCTCTTTATTAATGACCTGTTGTGGTCCCCCTTCAGGTGAACACTGAGCGCTTTGAGTCCGACAGCTGTGGGATAAACCATGTGGAAGGGGGGTGGCCCAAGGACGTGAACCCCCAGGAGATGGAGCAGACCATCCGCTTCAGGAAGAAGGTGGAGAAGGACGAGAGCTACGTCAACAGCCTCCTGCAGCTGGGGGGGGTAAGACCTGGTGTTAGTCCACTTAGAGTCCTGTAGGGTCCTGTTAGTACTGTAGGGTCCTGTAGGGTCCTGTTAGTCCTGTTAGTTCACTTACAGTTCTGTAGGGTCCTGTTAGTCCTGTTAGTCTACTTACAGTCCTGTAGGGTCCTGTTAGTCCTGTTAGTCTACTTACAGTCCTGTAGGGTCCTGTAGGGTCATGTTAGTCCTGTAGGGTCCTGTTAGTCCTGTTAGCCCACTTACAGTCCTGTAGGGTCCTGTTAGTCTACTTATAGTCCTGTAGGGTCCTGTTAGTCCTGTAGGGTCCTGTTAGTCCTGTTAGTCCACTTACAGTCCTGTAGGGTCCTGTTAGTCCTGTTAGTCCACTTACAGTCCTATAGGGTCCTGTTAGTCCTGTAGGGTCCTGTTAGCCCTGTAGGGTCCTTATAGTCCTGATACGTGGTCCTGATAGTCCTGATACGTGGTCCTGACAGTCCTGATAGTCCTGATACATGGTCCTGATAGTCCTGATACGTGGTCCTGATAGTCCTGATACGTGGTCCTGACAGTCCTGATAGTCCTGATACATGGTCCTGATAGTCCTGATAGTCCTGATACGTGGTCCTGATAGTCCTGATACGTGGTCCTTACAGTCCTGATAGTCCTGATATGTGGTCCTGACAGTCCTGATAGTCCTGATACGTGGT